CATTCTGCTCTCAGGATTTGGGGAATGCATGCACACACACCTGGCATGAGTTTTAAGTTGCTGAGTCCAGGACTCGAACTGCAGTCGACTATGTGGGAGTCCAGCAATGTAAGCATTATGCCATCTGCTGGTCCCAGTTTATTCACCAACTCTTAATGAAGTAGCCATTAGGCATGAACTGCTTCTCTGAAGAGGTGGCATTTCAATTCAAAACTGCTAGAGATGGGAAGGAGGCTGATTCCTGAAGGACAAGAGTAAGATCATTTAAGGCAGAAAAGAACGATATGTACAGAGACCCAGAAGCAAGAAAGTCCTTAGTGTTTTGAAAGGACAGAATAAAAAAAGCTGGCAATCTGCAGCTGAGGGAGGGATGGAACCTAGAAATGGCATCTCTGCCCTCACCATTTCCACCTGAACTCAATGTAGGACTTAAATCAGTGGTTCCCTGACTTTTCTTCCCATTAGAATCACCTCGGTGACCAGAAAACCCCAACGTTCAGGCTACTCTCTCAACTAGTTAAATGACAAACTCTAGGGGTAAGACACAGGCATTAGGATTTTTGAAACTTCCAACTGATTCTAAAGTATAGAGAGTCTAAGTCCCACCAACTTAAATCAGCTTTGGTGCTTGGTTATTGTCTTGTTCATCTACACAAATGATGAGGTTCAACTTACTAAGATCAAGTCTCTTTTGTGCTCTAAATTAGGTGATCTCTATGGGCAGACCCAGGGTCATTTTTTTTTTTTTGGTGGTGGGGGGGAGAGGTTTTGGCTATAGGGTGTGTGTGCTCGTTCATCAGAAAGACAGAGAGAGACAGAGAGACCGAAAGTGAGAAATCACCTCCCCAGGGGGATGGCCACACCACAACCCCTTCTCCTCCATTCTCCTCTTGGGATCTTGGGCACACATATACATGTGCCCAGCATGAGTTTAAGCTACCAGGTCCAGGACTCGAACCATGGTTGACTACATAGGAGTCCAGCAACATAGCCATTATGCCAACTGCTGGTCCCCCCAGGGTCATTTTAATCAATTCATTTCCTCAAAGTTTCTTTTCTTCGGAACAGCCCTATTCTTTCAGTGAGGCTAAAATCCTTGAACTTTGAACTTTCTCTTCCCACTGTTTCTGTAAATCACGCAGGTCTGGTGGATCCTAAGTGTCAGGCCCTCCATGAAACCCTGTTCCCTTTTTACTGGGCACTCACACACTGCAGTCATCCCCTCCCATCCATCCTGCCGTAATGACCGTTCTGAGCTCAGCTCCTGCTCTTATCCAAACCTTAATCTACCCTTAGAAGTCTTTTTCAAGTGTCCCTTCCTTCAGGAAGCCTCACTTCCAAGCCTGGGTATTTATGACAACTAATCTGTTAAATTTTATAGTACTCCTAATCCATGAAACAATTTAGAAGTGAATTCTATACAAGCATGTATATACTTTAGTCTTATCTCCCCAAATGGATATTAAGTAAACTAGTTAAAACAAAAGCACATTTCACTCGTCCCTGGCATCTATCAAGCATCATCACGTTATCTAGCAATAATGATAGCAGCAATACCTTTAGAGGTGGTGGAAGTGACAGTGGTATTGATGGGCAGTGGCAATGACAGTTCAACAGTAGTAATGGCAGTGACAGTAGGGCAATCTAAAAGCCCTCATTCACAAGGCATTTTATGTAGAAAATCTCATTTAAACATCAAAAGACTCTTACAAAATATGTTTTAAGGTCCCTACTTTACAATTAAGAACATTGAGAATTAGGAAGTTTAAGTAACTTAATAAGTGGGAAGGGTAGATCTGTCTGAGCCTGAATTTCTCTTATCATCACTTCATGGGACCTCCTTATAAACTTTCCAATGAACTGATTATTTCTTTGGAATCTTTTTGCATCTTATATATATATTAATTGACACACACAGTTGCAAGCAATAGAGAATTATTGGTAAGGAAGACGGATTGTTCATGTTTTTCAGACCAGCTAGGGTTCCCCAACATCGGCACATGAAGTGGGCTCCATACACTGAGTTCTCCTTCCCCTCTTCTTCCCTTAGCTCCCTGAAACCCAGCTGCTGGTCCAGTGGGGCCTCCTAACCATCTTGTGACCATGGCCTTCACCTCAAAGAATTGAGCTATGACCAGAGCCATTTCACATTAACATCACTAGATTAGGGGGACTAAATCTTAAACATACTGTGCTGATTTTGTTTGTTGATAAGCTAACCTTTACTGTAGCCTCCAAATAATGTGTATACTAGCCAGACTCCTGTCTTAGTGATAGGAAGTCTGCATTGATCTTCAATTGATTTATGAATGCTCTGTTCTTATGGTATAAAACCCAACATGCTCACAGCAGCATGGACCATTCTCTGCCCAGCTGTAAGCAGAATTTTATTCCCCTAAATGTAAGTAAACTCATGTCTTTCGCTAGGCCTCAGGTGTGTTCTTTTCTGTTTTGTCTTGTTGGAGAGGATTTTGGTATAGGGTGCTTACCAGAAAGACAGAGACAGAAAGTGAGAAATCGCCCCCAGGGGGCATGGCACAATCCCTCCTCCTCCATTCTCCTCTCAGGATCTAGGGAATGCACACACATGCACCCGGTGTGAGTTTAAGCCACTGGGACTCAAACCATGGTCAAACTACATGAGAGTCCAGCGACATAGTCATTACGCCAACTGCTGGTCCTGCCTCACATGTGTTCTTCAGAATGGATAAACATTATGGGCAAGCCCACTCAGATTTGGGACTCCCCAGAACAGCACGTAAGCAACAATTATGCATAAAGACACATTCTAGCCATTTATAAATAAGATCCTCTTCTCGTAAAGTCATCTAGAACAGGAAACACACTTGCAGGTACCTCCCTCTCCATCAGCCATGAGGGGAGGGACTACTCCGGGTGCCGAGTCACCTATTGTCAACCATGCATGCTTGAAGCAACAAATGTTGATTGTGACTCGGTGGGTCACATGATTTAGAGGTTTATCTTGAAAATAATTGAGCCCTTCAAGATCAAGTAAACACTTTATGTATAGAAATCATAATTCACCTACTGAAAAAGCCTGGAGGGCCCAGCAACTTAGACATTTTCTCCATCTCTTTCTGCAATTTTTTTTTTTTTGAGAGGTTTTTGCTATAGGGCACGTGCGCTTACCAGAAAGAGAGACAGAGAGACAGAAAGCGAGAAATCACCCCCCCCAGGGGGGATGGTCATGCCACAATCCCTTCTCCTCCATTCTCCTCTAGGGATCTTAGGCACGCACGCACACGTGCCCGGCATGAGTTTAAGCCACCAGGTCTGGGGCTCAAACCACAGGTGACTACATGGGACTTCAGCGACATAGCCATTATGCTAAATGCTAGTCCCTCTTTCTGTAATTTTTCAAATGCAAACATTTGACTTGGGCTGCTGATAAAGACATCAATACATCCACAACAATACAATAACAAAATTTCTGATCAGAGTTTATTGGCAATCCTGTTAGAGAACGAGATTGCTATAGCAACAGAGACAATTATCATCACCTTTGGGGGAATCAGCTGTTTGGAGAATAGCGCTGTGTAGAAATGCAGCTGAAAGTGGATAGGAACATGAGGACAGGAATAATTTATGCTAAGGTACTAACCAAAGGTAAAACTGAAGAATGTCCTTGAATTAAAATCCTGTGGTGCTAACAAGGTCCTTTTAAAAAATTATTTCCAAATAGATCATTTTCTATTACCATGTGAAACACATAAATACATACATAGATAGACATATTCAAAACCCACGTGGAAGAGATCATTCAAACCAGCAGAAGATCTGGAAGTTGCTCCTATTTATTTCAGAAATACTGGGTCATCGGGAAAAGTCATGACATGTTTTTGCATAAATATGTGTCATGACTTTCCTGATGATCTAATACATTATTTAATTTCCTTTTGGTATGCACCAATTCATCGTTAAAACTAAGTCTGATTTAGGCAGATATTATAATTAGTTTGACTTACCTGAGCCCTCACCAACTGCTGTGAGGACGTTAATCTAGAAATATGCTAATGGAAGATAATACGGAAAAAAATTACTCATCTTGAATGAAAAAACAATGGCAGACCAAGTGCCACTGGAAATCTCTTAAAATGGTGAAAACTGTATATTTTAACAACACCAAAACACTAAGTCCATCTGGGATAAAAGTTAGAAAAGGTATTTCCATGTTTTTAGGACTTTCTCAACTTTGACCCAAAAGGATATGAAATAAGTTATGTAAGATCTGGTTTCTTACAACATATTTGTACCAATGAACTTGAATTCACTTACTCCAAAGACTGATTCAGGACACCATGAAAGTTCATCTCTTTTGATTTCTGACTCAAAGTCCTGAGAGTAGAAGGCAGTTTTTCTTCCAGTAACTGAAGTAGTTCACAGATTTGCAATAATGAAACAATCTTAATGTCAGTTTGTAATTACTTTTCTACCTAAGATTCCATAACTAAACTAATAGAGTCAGAGTCTCTTGAGATTGACTGTCTGTCAGTGTACTTATAAACAGCCAAGCAGTCAGTATTTTGTATTAGAACCCAGTCTTCCTAGATCAAGGTTGGTAAGTGAAAATTTTTTCATTCTTTTCCATTTTTGGCTTAAGAGTGAGCTGAACTGAGTAACCAGCTGGAACTATGTACAATGGAACTGAAAACATGTGTGTGAAAACATAGTTCAAGTTTCAGGAAGAGCAAAGTTGCTGAATTTTTATCTCCTGATCTAACTGTGACTTGCAAAACAACTATTGATATATGAAAGTTTTAATTTTCCTACTTCAGGGAAAATTAAAACCCAAACAACTGGGTGTATAATTCTACTATAACTGAAGGTATTCATTTCTTAGGCAACTCAATGGCCTATTGAATCTGATGTTAAGGAAAAAAAACATATATTTGGGTGAATGTATTACTTATAAAGGCTCATATGTGATGCAATTTTTTAGACTAGAAAAATAAAAGTCTATGACCAGAGAGAATCCTTACCTTTTCAAGTATGGCATTGCCTTGGTGAGGATTGATATTGTGCTGGCTTACTTCTCTCTTGTATTTATATTCATAAACCTGGTTAGTGATATTAACCAGTAGAGTAGACGGGCTGAAAGCCAGGTTCCCACAGTCATAGACAGTTCCACTTTCAATATCAGTTGGTGCTGTAGCATATCGTAAAATCAATCCCATTATGAGACCTAAAATAAATAATAAATAATTGTGCTGGAGGAAAGCAATCTAAAATGCTCACTATTGCATGTGTTCAAATACATGATTTCAGGAAGGGTTTGGTCACTGCCTGATTTAGAAAATCATTCACTCTTGTGTAGATAAATTGAATATGTTGTTAAAATACTTGCAGTGGGCACTATTGCTTGCATACTCAGCATACATTACCTTTACTTTTTCCCTAATGGACCCACAAATTTTGGAAAGAAGAGATATTCACCACTTCTATTTACATGCCACCATATCTGGCTTGTACCTGAGATCAAGAATTGAACCTAGGCAACCCTGTGGTCCCAGCAGTGTAGACCACTGTGGCTGGAGCTTTTTCTTCATATTTTTTCTGGCAGGTATCCTGTGACCATGAGAGGATTTATTCAAAGGACATAGTTAATATACTGAAGATAGTACAACCTAAATACAGATGGAATCCAAGTCCTAAATGTCATCGCAGAACCACTAGGTCAACTGGTCAACCCTAGAGCTACCCCAATCCTAGACTTCTTGTTAGGAATCAAGTTTCTGTTTACCTGTAGCCAAATGCATCCAAATGGCAACATTTACTTTGGTAAAGAATTGAACCTAAGTGACAGTTCTTGACTTTTAAATTTATAAACTCTGCTATGAGTAAAAGTTAGGGGAATATGGGACCAGCAATTGGTGTAATGGCTATGTTGCTGGACTCTCATGTAGTCAACTGCGGTTCGAGTCCCAGACCTAGTGGCTTAAACTCATACTGTGTGTGTGTGTGTGTGTGTGTGCCCAAGATCCAGAGAGGAGAATGGAGGAGAAGGGATTGTGGCACAGCCACCCACCCTGGAGGGTGATTTCTGGTTTTCCATCCCTCTGTCTCTCTCTGTTTTTCTGGCAAGTGCACGTGCCCTATAACAAAAATCTGTCAAAAAAAAAAATTAGGGGAATCTGATCACTGTAAACTCTTAATATGGACCTTAACAAACAGGAAAGAAACTTTAGAAACCTAAACATTCTTCAATTTAAAATTAGTACTGATTTATGTATTTTGGAATAAATCACAGCTCACTCTTTTAAACATAAAATTTCGAAGCTTTTACCTCTCTGTTATGAATCCAGTCATCTAATAGCCTTTTGTTTCCTCAGAAAACAATTGTTGTCCTAATTTTGCTTCAGACACTTATAGATTTAAATTAATGGGGCCAGCAGATGGTATAATGGTTAAGGTGCTGGACTCCCACATGGCTGACTGCAGTTTGAGTCCTGGATCCCACAGCTTGAAACTCATGTCAGGTGCCCAAAATCCAAAGAGGAGAATGAAAGAGAAGGGATTGCGGCATGGCCATCCTCTCCTCGGGGTGGGGGGGGGTCACTTCTCACTTTCTCTCTGTCTCTCGAGTGAGCGCACATGCCCTACAGCAAAAATCTCTCTAAAATGAATGAATTAATTGAAAATTAAAGAAATGCAATGCCAATCTGTCAGAAGCTTGAATTTGTGTTAAGTGAAAACTCATAAGCAAACAATTAAAACACAATGAGACACGTACTATGACAGCTGGCCAGCATTCTTTCTATAAGAGTAGAGAGAACCGACACTCCAAAGCTCTTCAAATTATGCAAAGCTTGAGATAAATCTTAAAGGTCACATAAGATTCTTCTAGATGAGCTGAATTGCTCAGCAAATCCCATGTCCTAGCTGTCTCAGATCTGATCAGTTCTCACTAACAGAATATAAGCGAACATGGTGTATGTCCCTTCTGAGCTACATCATTGAAGCAGTGAGTTTCCTCCTGTTACTTATTAGGTGGATGGGGAGAAAGACTGTAAAGGTAAACAGAGTCACCAGGCTGAAAGAGCCTGGGTCTCTGAGCCACTAGGAGGAAGAAGGCCATCTGCCAATCAGGAATCTCTGCATTGGATTGTTAGGCAAGGAAGGATGAATTCTGTTGAATAAAGTCCCTGGTGCACTGTTTGTGGGTTAGCAAACACTAATCAAAACCTGATTAATACAATGTATAAATTAAGAGTGACTTCAAAACTCTGGTGCATTTATGAAATCATTATTTTTTTCTAAAAGAATTATTTATTTAATTTTATTTATTCATTCATTTATTTTAATTTGACCAGAGAGAGACACAGAGAGAGAGAAGGAAAGTGAGAAAGCAAGCCACCAGGTCCAGGACTCAAACCATGTTTGGCCATGTGTGAGTGTCCGGAGCCTTAACCACATCACCTGCTGGTCCCCAGAAATCATTCATTATTTAAGAAAAGAACAAATGGAGAGAAAGAGATAGAAAGTGACAGAGAGAACTCTCAACTGTAGACCAAAAGCAGGGATGCCAGGTTATAAATCTTTGTCTTGGTAAGACGGTCCTATTTTTAGCCCAGTGATAATGTAGAACTACTGAAATATTTTACACAGGAGAGTAAAGCAATCAGATTTCCATATAGGAACCATCATTCTGGCAACAATGTGGAGAAATTATTAGAGTGAGAGGTCAGAATGAAAGCAGATTTCTTTCATGAATATTTTTATCTTACTTCTGTTTCTGCATTTGGCCTACTCCTTCACAATAGTTAGAAACAATGCATCTTAACCTTGGTGAGCAAAGAAAAAGAAAAAAAATAACAAATGGATACCAAGACTATAGTGAGTATTTGCCCACAGAACAGTGGGCAACCTTCTGTGCCCAGGGTCAAAGGGCGTTAATAAAATTAGTCAAGAGAGAGAATGAAGAACCAAGTGGTGGAGAGCACTTGCATAAGAACATCACTTTTTCAATATTCTTTCCTAGAAAGGACTGACTTTCTAAACGTTTCTAAGTAGACACTTTTTTTTCTTTTCTTTTGAGAGGTTTTTGCTATAGGGCTTATGTACTCACCAGACAGAGAGAGACAGAGAGACAGAAAGCAAGAAATCACCCCCCCAGGGGGGATGGCCACACCGCAATCCCTTCTCCTCCATTCTCCTCTCAGGATCTTGGGCACGCACGCACACGCACCTGCTGTGAGTTTAAGCCACAGGGTCCGGGACTCGAACCGCGGTCGACTACGTGGGAGTCCAGAGATATAGCCATTACGCTAACTGTTGGTCCCACTAAGTAGACACTTTGAACAACCCTGTTAGCCAGTCTTTCTACTCAAGTGGAATACAAAGAAGGAAAGCAGGGATATTATCTGCCTTGGCCTGAGTGGAAGAACCCATGTAATGCTGTTTGACATTCCCATGGATAGGCCACTTATTTTTGAAAAATGCATTTGATAAATTAAGAAGTAAACAGGAAGTGGGGCCAGTAGATGGCATAGCAGTTATGTCGCTGGACTCCCACATGTCTGACCACAGTTTGAGTCCCGGACCCAGCAGGCTGAAACTAGTGCGAGGCACGTGTGCTTGTATGCCCAAGATCTCAGGAGGAGAATGAGAGATAAGGGACTGTGGTGTCATCCCATCCTCCTTGGGGGGTTGATTTCTCACTTTCTCTCTCTCTCTCTCTCTCTCTCTCTCAGCAAGCACATGTGCTCTAAGGCAAAAAGAAAAAAAAGTAAACATGAAGTACCTATTGTTACTTTCTAAGCAGGAAAAGTTAAGTTTTTGTCATAACAGAGAGTGCATTGTGGTTAAATTCCCACAAGGCCTCAGAGCCTATATGGCCCTGACTGGCCCTGTGCACCAATTTGGCAGCAGCCTTCAAGGAGAAGCACACTGGAGTAAACAGAGGAAGCTGCTGGCATCCAGAGGTGATCAAATGCAATAACTGTAAAATGTGCCCTCAGAAAGATCTCCCACTGTGAGGACTTCTGTTGACCAATGGTCTCAGCTTCTAAGGCCAGGTTTTCCATCAGCTGCTCTCAGTCCATGACCAAGCATAACAAGGATAGTAAGACAGTGAGACAGAGACCCCTCTGAAGGCAATCAGAGATCAAGAATACGCCAACCTAGCCAGATTGTTCATAGAATTGCATACACACAGACTAAAGATTTCCTACCCGCCCCCCCTTCCCTTCTTCCCACTCTCTACAGATCTTGGGCCTCTATCAAGGTCTGACAGCTGTTCCATCATCCTCAAAGTTTCTTCCCGATTTTCTCTCAAAGGAATTTCCCCCAATAAATCTTTTGTACAACTAATTTCTTTCCAACATCCGCTTCTTAGAGGGCCCAAATTAACACACTAGCCAAAAGAGTCTGGCCTCACCTTTTGCCAAACCACAAGGGTTATGAGGAATCGACGTCAGGGCTGACTATAAGAACCAGTGGGAAAACTTCAGCTTCACAACATACCTGGTTAACAAACCTGCACACCCACTGTGAGCCCCTGCTGCAGTGCAGCAGATGGAAAATCCTTATTTTTCAGAGGCCAGACACTTACAGTGCCTCATAATGCTTTATGTAGATAGCTACATGTCTCCTCAGTATGGTGGCTAGACGCTGACACAGAAACGCAGTGGTGAACTAAAGCACACCTACATGGTATCATATGGGAGTAGGTGACACAGTAGGACTACTAGTAGGAAGAAAATGCTAACAAGGGGGTGTTTTCATTTTATTTTATTTTTTAATTGTATCTTGTGTATGAGAGTGTGAGAGTGTGTGTGTGTGTGGCATTTTACATAGGGCCCCACTGTGTCATGATCCTCCTGGCTCAGCCTCCCAAGTAGCTGCAGTTATAGCTGTGGGCAATCATGCCTCACTTTTTTTAGGCTGTGCTAAGACTATAATCTGGGTCTACAGTGCAGCCTCTGTCTGCCAAGAAGCAGTATCCATAATGTACTGCCAAGGCTGGATCTAGATGGGGTTTTGTCTGTTTGTTTTGAGAGGTGTTTGCTATAGGGCGTGGTGCTCACCAGAAAGACAGAGAGAAACAGAGAGACAGAAAATGAGAAATCACCCTCCAGGGGGAATGGCCATACCACAATCCCCTCTCCTCTATTCTCCTCTTGAGATCTTGGGCATGCACGCACACGCACCTGATGTGAGTTTAAGCCACTGAGTCCGAACCTG